TTGTAGACCAAACGCAGACTACGCCATTTGTATCTGTTTTTTTTTTATTTTACAGGTTTACTTGCCCCATTTTGTAGGAGACAGAAGAGTAAATTCAGCTGAACTCATTCACAATTTTAATTTAAAACGTCTTTTTCGATGACAGTTGTTCCGTCTTTTAATGGTATATTCTGTAACAAGGTTGGAATGAAAATTTTTATTCTAACCGAATAACAGACCAGAAAGTATGAATAAGAAACTATTAATTCTGAACAAAAGAAATTATTTATTAAAACAATTATATTACACTGAATTAATATTGATATTTATAGTGTTTGAGCAAGTAGTAAAATTAAAAATTGGTACATTAGAAATATTGTCCGTAATATTTTTCAAAACAGATTGGTTTGTAGACTTAACAAACTCAACAGTAGCAAAGCAGGAAGAATTGGAAGTTGAGGGAAAATCTACTGACGAATTAGATCCAGTAATTGAAGAAACTAATTGATTTGCTACATTTAGTCCATTTTGCAAAGAATTTTCAATGTAGCCTTCTGTTAGTTGAGAAGATTTCCAGCCTGCATGCCTTTTTAATGTTGTAATATCCGCACCTGAATTTACCAACGTAGTCGCTGAGGTACGGTGGAAACAGTGACCTGTATATTCTTGTGGATTTTCTATATTCAGAAATGTGGCAATTTGTTTAGACATATTCCCCAGTTTGTTAATTCCAATTACTATTCGTGTACATTTATTATTTTTTGAAATTAATAAAAAACTTATCAGAAGGAACATCACAAAGGTCTCAAAGCCCAGTATTTCTTTACAATATTATAAAAATCTCCCGTGATTGTAAACTCTCTTGGTTTTCTATTTTTTGTATTAGGAACTGCAATTAGTAGTGCCGATGCCAAATTTTTAATGTCGGGAATTTTAATGCTGTAAAGCTCATTCTTGCGACAAGCACCCAAAATACCAATGACAAGAACGACCTAAAAAAAACATTTTATTAAAATTGTTATTTAAATTATAATTTTTATTACCTTTGTGGCTAAATATATCTAATCCGGAGCATTTTTTAAGAATTGGTTAATATTTTCTTCTGCAAAAATAGTAATAATTTTTACTTTAAAAATGATTTTGGAATTATTAAATTCACTAATGGTTGTGGAGAAAATATTGTTACGTTTCCGGGTGTTAAAAATCGAATCAATTTATTATTTATTTTTATTTCTCAATAACACTAATTTACACAACTATAACTGTACAGAATAATTCCGACTCGACTAGAACGGATTTGACTAGACTCGAATTCTCTCATTGACAGAACTCGACTAGCCGTTTCCAGCGGTGATCCCTATTTAAACAGCCACTGCTCCTTCCTATATATTTCGCGATTGAGGTTGTTCTGGAGTGCCTATGGCAACACTCGCTCATCACTGTACTATATACTAGAAAACCCCTAGGCGATGTACCGGGGCGACGTATGGGTTTATTTTGTAACAATATTTGGCTGAAATTTACAACAATAAGCCTGCAATGTTAATTGATAACGAGTTGATTCTAGTAGGTATCCGAGCTTGTTATGAAGATTTATTACTTACAGAGCATAAGCTAAGTAAGGACTGTAATAGGGTCCATCCTACGAATGGCTACTTTCATGTGTTCTCCACATTTCATGACCCTTAGAGTGCGAAAAAATAGATCTCCGTTCCCATCCTTCCGTCTGTCTGTCCAAGAGTTATCAAATTTTCTATGTATGTTAGATGGTAAAACACTAACCAAACTTTGTCTAGTTATCCCTACCAACAGTGTGATGATGTCCCCTCAACACAGTAAACACAATTTAAATTAAAAGAAAAACATACTCCTGTACTTGCAGTTTATGAATCGGCCTTGAATTTTATCACAATAAATTTGTATGCAATACACACTGTATTTGGATGAATGTTTGATTTCGGTTGCGGGGGAAATTCTGTCCAAATAGCTCTGAACCAATTTTGTCACGCATAACAAAACAATTAATTTTGATAACCCGTTTTAATACCATACGCAGCAAAATAACGAAAATTTAAAACATTTATTAATGCCTCCATAACAGCTAATTTCCAATACTACGTCCTAGGCTTATTTGCCAATACAGATTTAATTCATTAACACAGGTCTGCGTCAAATTGTTTGGAAACTATCTAGTGATTTTAAGGTTTTTTGGCAATTTGTGTTGTAGTTCTTAGCGTATTATTGTAGAACTTTTGTTTCAAGAAATAATAATCATAATTTTTTTTTAGTTATGGGAATGCAAGAAGTTGACTATAAATACGAGTACTATATATCCTGTTTTAGTACGTGTGTGCCTCTCCACCATCACCATTTTATATTAATTAAAAAAAATAAGCCTTTTTGTGAAAAATCCTGGCCTAAATATGTATGTTATCAATATCAAGCAACCTCATCAAATTTTTCATTTTTCGTTTGGAAGGAAAACTGAATCCCATTTAATTCAAACAAATAAGCTTAAAAATTTACAAATTATAACCTTAGATTTTATTCAAATTTGAAAACTTAGAGTATGCCCCAAATGTTGTTTGCTTAAAAGTTAAGAGCACATTAGTATCTGTCTAACAAAAATTGACACAGACAACGGACGAACAGACACACAGACACGGAAACGATATAGTACTTTTTTCTATTTTAGGTGTCATGAAACGTGGAAAAAATATGAAAGTAGCTAGTCGCCCGATATTACAATAAGTAAAAATCGTGCTATATTAGCTTTGAAATTATTAAGTAAATGTAAAAAATAATTCATAATAAAGGAGTATAATCGTTTTTATGTAGCAGCCTTACCATTATTGTGTCAGGAACAACCTTAAACTAATTTCTTTCTTCTTGAGTTCTACAGAACATTCTTAACATATATCTTTCCCCACTGCTCCACAGATGAAAATCCTAACCTGAAAAACAAAAATATTTCATTTAAATACTCTCTATACACGTTAATATACTACAAAAGCTTTTTTTTATTGCTTTTGCTATAAAATAAATTAAAAATTAAAAAAACTTCTTGCTATCATCCCTACAAATTATTTGTGATGTCCTTCTTGAATACTTATTAGTAATTTACGTTTCTAGAACACATAACCTCTAAAATTTTTGGAACAGCGATGTTGTATTCTATGGTGCAACAGCACAACGGTCACCTTACAAAATTTATTTTTCACAAAAATTTGCAAGGAAAATATTTTCAAAGAACATTGTCTTGTTTACTGATTGTTCTGACAATTTTTTGGACATTTTTTTACTGCCTATGTCGGTATGCTCATACAATAATCGAAGAAAGTCTTGAAACATTGTTTCATTTGACATGAAATGCTTCAGTTTATACGGAAATTAGTTCTAAATATGAAACCCAGATCTTGATAACTTCGGCGGGAAAATTTAAGTAATGTTCTGGCAGTTTTCTAACATTTTTAAGCCAAGAAATAATTAAAATAACAGAGTAATTAATAAGTAAACATTTTAAGAAAGCACAAATGAATTGTGATACTAAAATTCTTGAACCGAGAAGCCAAAAAGAACAACAGATGAAAGAGAATAATCTAGAAGACAAAAAAAAAACATCAAAAAATAAAGTCGTTTTTAAAACAGGAAAGAAAATAGGGAGGTCGTGTACAGCTTGAGTTATCAACAATTATTCCCGTCTAGATTACGATTAACTTTATACAACTTGAATTTCCTTCATCATACACATTTTTCGAAAAAAAACCTGCGAAATGAGTCCGTTTTCGTAAAAGAAAACGCTAAATGTCATAAAGAGAACATTCCATCTAGGGCCGCCCGAAATTAACAGATGCAGTGACATAAGCAATAAGAGATATTCTCAATTTGTTCATTAGAAACGGCACGTCAACATCCCCTCATTTCTCTTCCTATGTAAAAGAAAGAGACGGTACATTTCCCGTTGACGATACGCTGATGTTTAGTTCTTAATTTGATGAAGCTTAAATTGGTTTAATCATAATGACTGTCCGTAATCTACAGATTGCCATGAAGATATACTGTAATTTCTGAATGGATTTTTTCCTGATTTTAATTACGAAATGTGACGAGTTTAGTAAATTGTCCAGGGCATTAGCCCGGGATTAATCCGATAATTTTATTTACTCGTTATCAGGGGCGTCGTCAGGGAAAAATCCCCGTGTCGCTACATTAACTTGGAAAGACGATAAAGTTTTGTTTTAGTTTTTGGAGCGATGTGTAATTCGTGAAGCTCAGACGAAAGGGAATCGCAAGTGATTTACCAATGATTGTTCGGGATTCAATAACCGGAAATGCTTGTTCGGCCAATCGCGCTCTTTGATTCCGTCTTGATTGTTTTGATAACGTTTCTGTTTTCTATTCTGAACTACATCCCTGGAGAATGGGATTGCCTCTTCTTTCTTTTTATCTTCCTATTTTAAATTTACATATATTATACAGTTTCCGCAAGCGTGGCTCTTGCTCGAGATGGAATTTTTTTCGGTGATTTAAGCCAGCCAAATAAACCCGGCCAAATCGAGCGAATAGAGGAGAGAGGGCTAATATAGGACAATCTCTTGCTCATAATTTTCTTTACTGCTAGTTTGAACTAAATTAGGAGAAGTGTGGCAAGGGGTGCTATTTTACATTCTTCCAGTCACTGACCATGTATCAGATTAAAACAAAATTTATTATATAACAGTAATAAAAGAATATCAAAGACAATAAATTAGTTGAAATAAAATAGATCTTCCAATCGAATTTTCACTATTTTTTAGATAATCCATATAACATAATAATGTGAATGTGTGAAACAGAAAACAGTCGTTACTGATATTAATTTAAATAACAACAATATATTTATCTGCGTTTTATTATAAACATGAAGTACCATAAATATCAATTTTAATTAACTTAGACAAAGTCACATTATTATCGCTAATAGTACACTTCGTTGTATTATTTCCATTATACTTATATAACTATGTAATTTTCAATTTTAGGTCAAGTTTTATTTATCCAGAGCTTATGAGTCACTAGGGACAAAAAATATAATTTTAACACACTTTTAATTGAAAAATTAAACTTAGGCTGTTAGTTTCCATTCACTGTGGCCTAGGGCGTTTCTCTACTGACATTTGCTGCAGTGTTGCTGAACAACGTCTCAAACTGTGTCCACCATATGACTGAGCTTCAGGTAGGTCAAGAGATAAGAACTCCAACTAATTAAATAAAGCATTTTTCCTGTGTTGTTTGTTATTGTTTTGAAGAAAAGTTATTTCGTAAAGACCTTAACCTATTTAGGTTATCTACATTTCAAAAAAGAAAGTAAACGCAAACATTTCCTATTTGTGCGAACCGATGACACTCGCTGCACTGAACTGCAACATTAGTAGTGAAAATAGCTAAGCATCTATAATAATGTATTCGATAATATTTTATATTTTGTTTATAACTGCTTCAGTGAATGCTTTTTATATACACGCAAATAAGAAAAAATATCTGTCTAAAGAAAAACGTGGTAACATTAAATTTATTTAGCTTGAATTTTAATTCGACACTTTTTTGCAGCCACCGTAGAAGCAAATTGTCCTTCAGAAATATTGTCTTGCACAAAACCATTGCCTTATTTCCAAACAAAACAATTTGATTGTAGTGACGACAACGTTTGCCCTAATGATTACAAATGTTGTAGAGACAGTTGTTTCCAGCACAAAATATGCAAAAAAAGTGAAGGTGTTTAAGTTATTAATTGGAAGAAATAAAATTAAAAACCACTAATATAATTTATTTTTGTAGCCACAGCAGCATATTGTCCTGTTGATGATCTACCTTGTGCAGTGCCTTTAAATTATGAGGAAACACAACAGTTTTTATGCTATACTAATGAACAGTGTCCAGAAAGTTATTTATGTTGCGAAGATAGTTGTTTTTGGCATAAAATCTGCAAGAAAATGTCTAACAGCTTTGATTATGTTAACGTTACCCCTTTTATTTTTACAGCTGGGACAAATAATAACGGCTACACTTTAGCACCTCCCGTCGAAGAAAACACTGATGATAGTGTTACTACAACTGTTGAAGAAAGTGAAAGTAATGAGATTATTACAACTGAAGGTAATGATAATGAAGATGGGACTACAACTACTGAAAAAAATGAAGAACAAGATGCCATTGTTGAAACCGCTACACTAACTGAAGAAAGTGAAAGTTATGAGATTATTACAACTGAAGGTAATGATAATGAAGATGTGACTACAACTACTGAAAAAAATGGAGAACAAGATGCCATTGTTGAAACCGCTACACTAACTGAAGAAAGTTCTACTCCAGCCGTGACTGAAGAAAATGAAAATAATCAAACCACCACAAGTAACAGCAATGGTAACGAAGACACTAGAGAAGAAAATGAAGAAAATAACGAAACATCTCCAGAAAACGTTAACGAAACTGAGTTGAATGGAGAAAGTGATGATAACGATTACGAAGATGGTAATGGTGGTGTGGAAAATAACAATTCTCAACAATCTGATTACGATGATGAAGAAGAATGAAGAATACTTACAAAAATATAAATAGCAGCGGGTAATGCGCAGCATGTAAATAAAGGGAAATTGTCTTTAGTGTGTAAATGTTTATGTTCGAGTTCTTATCAGTATGCATTATTGTTAGTAACTGATTTTTTTTTAAACGCCAAAAATTATAAAAATATATTTATATGCAAAAATTTTATTAAGTAGGACCTTAAAATATATTTTTATTTTCATGACATTTAAAAATTTTGCAGATTTTCCACTTAATCTGGTTAATATGGGCGTCATCTGCCAGAATAATGATGACATTTGACCTTTCGCTGTCATGATGCTTATCTGTTACAAGTAACTGTTGTTAAAATATTACCTGTTACAAAAAGTTGTTTTGTATATAAGGATACAATATATTATATTTCTCGCCTCTTTATCGCTCCCCTTGCTTCCAACATTCCCCATGTTCCCCTAAACCACCATCTTTAACGCTCCGTTAAAAACTATAATCGTCCTCAAAAAACTTCCGAAAGCGGGTTGCTCATGTGATTTCAAGGCAAATATGTTACAATTAAGTGAGTTCTTAATTAAAAGCTTGGTCATGTTTCATTCGAGGCGACTGAACATCACCGACATCCTCTTCTTTGGTCAAAGGGTGAGTGAGTGTGCATGTTCAAATTAAGAGCTATTCTCTTTTGGCCTCTCGTTGGAAACGTAAATAAAGTTAGGGAAACTTAATGTTACGTTCTAAATGTAATAGTTAAACGAGCTTGAAGAAGAAGATTTAAAGCCTGGCCGCAAAAATTGCTTCTATTGGCCGTTTCGTCTAGCTGGATATCGCCGGTCGGCGACGTCTCGCAAATGAGGTTACACTAAAAAAGTTTTAGCTGCAAGAATGGGAAATATACTTTAATGAATTGTGAACAAATTTGTTCGTGCTTTTCGGTTTATAAATATGTAAATATTTTCCAAGTTTTAACTAATTTTTTTTCCTACTAAGTACGTAAACGGAAGTAACTGAATCTTTTTGCAGATTAATATTAATTTCGTTAATTAAAAAACAAGAGGAAGTTGGTAAAAAAGTTGGTGGAGATAAACATTAGCTGTAAGTAGGTGTTGTTTAAAAAACGCCGTACATCAACATGTGTTCCTGTCCTAGATCATTTTACATCTGAGGCTGATGACTACCGAATTCCACTATGATGTCACGAATAGTTTTTTCACATTCAATCTAAAAGATTTATTTATTCAAACATTAATAAGTCGTGAAACTAATGAATGCTTGATATCAGATTACCAAAGTGTTGAAATATTTAGACTATGTAAAAAGAACTACATAAACAAGATTTTTGTTGCCCGAGTCCTACACATAAAACATGTAATCGGGTGCAGATTTTTACTTAGGTATAGCAAATCATCACAATGGAACTAAAGTTCTAAAGCTTAATAAATTAAGCAAGCATTCGTTGTTCCATGTTTCAGCAAAAGTTCAATTTCTCAAAAGTTAAATGTTTGATTCTACTAAAGAGTTAGGTCGATGTTTTCTTCTCGCCTCTACCAACGTTAATCTCATTCTAAAAGCCTAATATTCTAAATTCATTTTTAAATTTATACTAACGATGTTACGGAGGAAAATATTGGTGAAACTGGAGGAGAATCGTCCACACAGTAGGAAAAACAACATACATGATTCGCAATGTTTTTCTATACAGATAAAATTAAGTATTACAGAAATGTTATATCAAAAGGTGTTGTTCTTCTGATATAATTTTTCTTAAAACAATTACAAGTGTTGACTATTTTCCCATAATTCCATAATTTCTTTTTAGGTATATAAAAATGTCAGTTTTAATAAACGAAAACGAAAAAAATAGTTTCCCGTTTCCGTCTGTCTGTCTGTCTGTTTGGTGTCTGTATCCATTTATATTAGACACGTAATTTCCTAAACTGCTACCTGTTTAGGTAGCATTGTTGTCAAATTTTGTGTGTATATTAGAAATATCATGTAGATGGTTAAATACTAACCAAAATTTTGTTAATCATCCCCGCTAACCATTTGATGACATCATTTCAAAGAATTCTATTTTTATTTGATTTAATTGTTATATGTGCAACAATAGTCTTATAAGTGTGGTGAACGAATCCGTTTTGAGTTTTCCCATAATCGTCCAAATTTTTGCAAAAACATAATACACGGTATATTAACAGTTTACCATTAACGTAAAGTATCCCGGTGGTGATCTAGTGATTACAAGTCAAGAATGAGGACCGGACGTCCCGCGTTCGGTTTCAAACTTGGCTGGCCCTTGGTTTGATTTTCCTTTTTTTTTTTCTCTCTTTTTCTCTCGCATTGTGTAAATGTTTATAATAACATTTTTTCTTGAACAGGTAAGAATACGCCCCCCTTTATTTAAAAAACCTTCGCAGGTGTCCCAACTATTTTTTTTTTATGTAAAACGTTCTCTGGGGTGCCAAATGTCTTTTTTTTTAACCTTCTCAGGGGTCCCAATTATCTTGTTTAGAAATGCAAAACTTTCTCAGGGTAGCCAAATGTTTTTTTTAGAATGTGAACCCTTCTCGGGGATCCCAATTGTCTTTTTTAAAAATGTAAAACCTTCTCGGGGGCGCCAAGTGTCTTTTTACTTCCCGAGCGTAAGGTAAGGAAGTATAGTAATCGAGTCCATCAGCCGAATTGCCACTTTCTGATTTTTTTAAGAATGTGAAACCTTCTCGGGAGCCCCAAATGTCCTTTTTTTAAGAATCTGAAACCTTTTCGGAGGTCCCAAATGTCTTTATTTAATGAAGGTGAAACCTTCTCGGGAGCCCCAAGTGTATTTTTTTAAGAATATTAAATCTTCTCGGGACTCCCAATTGTCTTTTTTAAGAAGGTGAAACCTTCTTTTTTTCTGTTACACTGTGACTAGTACCTCTATATTGTTTTTACTTCATAGAGGTTAAAAAATTTTACTGTACTTCAGAAGCGAGGGAAATTCTGTGGAAATAACTTTCGACCATGCATTGGGTTCCATTAAAAAAAATCATCAAGTTGGCGCTGATTTTTTAAACATTATAAACTATGCATGTCTGCGATACTAAACCTTATATTATTTAATCGATGACAGCTGACAACGCGAAATTATAGAACCTAATCTCATTTTTTCGTATAATAAAATTAACGCGGTTCAGCAACTCTGTCGATTGTCAATAGTAGTAGTAGTAGTAGTAGTCAATACGTTTTTCGTTACGTTTTCTTCTATCAAAAAACCAGCGCCAACTCTATGATTTTTAAATAAAACAGCAGTTATTTTGGTAGTATATTATATAGTCTAATACAAATAACAACATCGTTGTCGTTTTAATAATTTTCATACAACTTTAAGCGTAAATTAGAATGAAAGGTTGCACCAAATCTGGATGTCTAGGGGAAAAATTCAAGGCGACTTCATAATCCACGAGTATAGGAGTATATTATTTTTTTTTAATTTAAGTGATATTTACCATGAACAATTTTAAGGTTTGTTAGTGGAGTTAATCAGATAAATTTTGGTCAGCGTTTTACCACATACACGACGTTCCTGACACACATAAAAAAATCAGTAATCAGTCTGGTAGTTTCAGAGATTACCTGTCCAATAAAAATGTACACAGACAACAGATGACGAATATACGGAAAAGAGAGATTTATTTTTTCGTACTCTAGGGGCCATAAAACGTTGAGAAAACAGGAAAATAGCGATTCGCCGAAATGCTTACGCTAGGAAGCATAATTTTATTTAATGGTAGAATAAAAATTCCGGCGACCATAGTATAACCATTTCCAATAAAACATTACTTCTGTCGTTACACTGATAGTTGTTAGTGAGAAAATAAGTTGCCTGATTCATTATGTTTTACTCACCTGTGTAAGCAATTCTAAAAAATATAAATGCATTGATAAACCATAAATTTAATATAGACTCTAATATTTTACACATTTAGATCAGATTAATTTAATTCGGTAAAATTTTGAGATTGTCATTAATTTTGGGAGGAGAAGGGGGATAAATAGATAAATTGTCAAAAAAATCTGGATGTTTAGAGTAAAAAATTAAGACGGATTCATAAACTAGATTTACCATTTACGCAGTTTTTCAAGGTGACTTCATTACATTGTTGGTGAGGATAATTAGACAAAGTTTGGTTAGCCTTTAGCATTTACACGATATCCTAACACACACACACACATTTTCACGACATTGTGTCGGTAGTTTCGGAGATTAACTATCTATCTAATAAAATTCGACACAAACGACAGACAGCGACGACAGAGAGACGGAAACGGAGGACCCATTTATTTGTACTCTAGGTGTCATGAAGCTTATTTTATCTTTGTTGCAGCCTTTATTTTTCTACTTTTAAGTGATCTATTTTATGGAGTATTTTTAAGTTTTTGACGGCCTAAAACCCGCTCTCTACCAATTACAAAATAAATGTTAAAGTAACATAATGTAAAATAATGTGAAGGTAGGTACTTCTTTCTTACTAAATGAAACGAAGTAGCATTTATTGATATTTAAAACTATAATACTACCAATAATCATGCAAAAGTAGTAAAACATCTTGTAATTTATTTATAACATTAAAAATCTTTAAGTCATCAGTATATGCTAAGAGATTTACAACACAAAGATTCTACCAACGTTATAAATATATTATTAAACAAGGGAGGAGCTAGATTTGATCCTTATGGAATCTCAGAAGATGCTTCAAAATCGAACGATTTAAAACCATCATAAAACACATAATTAAGCCTGTTGTTGGTGCATGATTTCATCAGTTGTAGAAACAATGACGACATTCCAAGTGAGTCTAATTTATTAAGGAGAACGTTATAGCCGTTGGTATTGTTAGGAAATAAACCCATATGCTGCCCCAGTACAACGCCTATGGGCCGTCAAGAGCATTCTAGTATTCGCGGCGATGATGGGTGAGTCATCATCGGTGACGATGGCCTGGAGTGGGTTACCGCAAGACGCGGCGAGTCGAGTCCAACGAGTGTCGAGAAAACCCAGTCAAGTTGCACCGAAATTACCTTGTACATAATCGCTCTGTAATTAGTCGTATAAATCCGAGGTACTAAGGAATAAATTGTCGGCGATTTTTAAATAGGTATTTTTTTTACAAATCCTTGCAAAATCATGTAAGTTGACAACTAAACGTTAGTTGGATATATCAAAATTATTATTTTTTTTTAAACTGTTGCAATTTTAGTGACTTCTCAGATATCTGGAAAAACCGATGTACGAATCGCCAAGTTTATCAGAAGTTTTGCTACAACTGGGGCAAGTTCCCAACCAAAAAGTTTAGGATGCAACACGGAACTGAGTTGTCAACATGGTTGGCGAAACGCGTCGAAAAAATTTTTTTGTTTGTCGGTAATCATCACCGAGTGGTCAA